GAATTTTCACATTTCAGTGAATACCTCCTCCGTTGTCATGCTCTCCTGATACTTTTTCAAAAATTTCGAATTTTTAAATTTCAGTGAATACCTACTCGATTTTCATGTTCCCCTGATACTTTTTCAAAAATTTTGAATTTTCACATTTCAGTGAATACCTCCTTCGTTGTCATGCTCCCCTAATACTTTTTTGAAAATTTCGAATTTTTGAATTTCAGTGAATACTTACTCAATTTTCATGTTCTCCTGATACTTTTTCAAAAATTTCTATTTTTCCCCCGAACCTGTGGATAAGAGAAACAATACACAAATCGAAATTTAACTTGTTTAATGAATATATTCGTCATTCACAATAAAGTAATATACATATTTACATCTCATGGAACATTTATTATAAGAATATAGATGATCATACTTCAAAAACATAGATACACATCTTTTTCACTTAAACTCTGCTTTTTTATCGTGCTTACATGTGGATTTTTCTACTGGCATTTGACACAAAAATATCATTTTCTTCATAACATTCATATATACTATATAATGAATATAATTTTTCTCCTGTCATTGTCTCATCTCCTACAACGTACGACGTTTAATCACTACTAAATGAAAAAACTACATAATTCTCAAAGAAAAAAAAAAACTCCTGTCAAATCTTATGCGCTCAAGTCATGTAAGTGACTAGTATTACGATTAAAATACATTCAGAGACGTCTGTTACATGATTATTATGCATAAGGCATTTAGTTTGCTCATTAATCATTCTTATTATATTGGGACTGTAAAAAAAAAAACATGTGGTCCCATAAACATTTTCCAGGTACCTCGAATTAATGCAATACACCTCAAGTCGGTTAGTGACTCGATTATTTAATAATTAATTGTCTCAGACATACGTAAACATCAACTTTCTCACACATATGCAATTTCGGTAATAATCTTAATCTGAAGAACAAATTTTTAATATAATTATAAAAAAATGTATTTGGTCCGGAAAGGCAATATAAGATATATTCACGCGGTATTTTGATATTATGTATAACCTATTACTCATTCGTTCACAAATTGGAATTTGGTGGAGTTTTCAACACGATAAGTCGGTGATTTTTCATTGCCGATAGATAATTTCATATTTCTATCGATTATTTTTTACCCTAACGTCAAAAAGTCCATAAATGCTTCACGAGAATTTTAATCGAGATGGAAATAATTGTTCGAGTATTTGGGAATAAGCTCTTCAATACACCAATGTCATCTGTAATTAATTTGTAATGTAACTTTTATTTTTGCCGCAGTCGAAAAAAACAGGGGAATCCCCGGTTGTTAATTGTTTCCATTCCACTCAAAATATTTCAATTAAAATTCCCCTTCGTAGAGATTACATGAATTTAATATAATCCCGCTTGTCGATAAGATAAATCTTTTTTTTTTCATTACCATTTAGTGAAGATCTGACACCCGTCGAGTCATTACTCATCAATGAACAGAGGAACGGTCAGCAAATCCATCTCCACTGACGACTGGTCCGAGGATCTCTCGGAGGATGTAATGGACTCCTTATCAAAATTTTGTGAACCGTACAATGACGCGCATTGTACGGTACTCCTGTCTCAGACTTTGCTCTCAGGACCATCCGCCGTATGCTTGAATGAATTACGTATTTTGCTCAAGTGAAGTGCAGTAATGTGTCCATAACTCTTGTTATACCACTCTGGTGTTCTCCCTTTAGTATCAACCCGAGACAGATGCATAATCCTGGATTTTCCACTTCCGCATTTTTCGATGAGATAACGCGAAGCCAGAACGATACCACGTGTGCCACCGAGCAGAACTGGTGCGTCTGGATGCTCAACTGATGTCTCAACGATTACACACGCATCCTTGGGCAGGTCAGTACGCCATGTACGTAAAACGCAATAATCACGTGCTGGTAGGGGGCTCATATTGCCAGTTGCGTATTGAAATATTTCAGCGTCTGAGTCGAGTTTTTTAACCAGACGGTACTTCAGCAACTGGGAATCCCAGATGTGGCGCTCACGTAGCACACGGTGAAGGAGCTCGTTGGGGGGCGCCTCTACCTCAGTCGATACACGCCACAGTCGCAGCGGATGACCGTCGCCCACTTTTTTGTATGCCATTTCGATACTGGGATCTGGTGGATTGCTCACTGTCACCCATCCCCGACTTCTGAAATCAAAAAATCAAAAAAATTATTACTGGGTAAAATCAAATTTTCTTCGTCAATGGAAATGGTAATTAATTAATTAAACGAGTTGAAGTGATAAGAGAAGTGTTGAAATATTCGAGCACTTACTTCTCACGTGCTTCCTTCAAGAGAGCTGTTGTACAAGCGTACATGTATCCTCTCCAGTTCTGCTTCATCTCCGATCCCAACTCCTCGAGGGCCACAGGAACGCTCTCTTCCATGTAGTTAAAGTGACACTGAGTCAACATATCCGATGAAACCTAAAATTCACACCACGAGAGATTGATGATTAAAGATAATCCCCCAGGAAAACACGAAGTGATGGATGAATACAATAAACTCTCAAGTTGCGAGTAAATACAGAGTCAAAAAAATTGACGCATTTCGAATACTTTTCTTCGCGCTAATATTATTCTCTGTAAACTATTGATGTTCTGAGTGGAACTGAATTTGAAACTAATCCGAACTTCTCTCATTTCATTATTTCAAGAAAAAATTTGCACTCACCATAAACAACTCGCGATGAAGCTTGATCAAATACAACAGACAATCATGAGCGGCTTTATTCTCCGACAATTCCCTCTGGTCTGGAATTCCCACAGTTTTCCTCCTTCTTGGTGATACACTGCTGGATCGATTGGCTACGTTGGAATTCGTATGATTGAAGTGAAACAAACTAGGCGCCAAACACACAGCCAAATTGGACGCAGTCATCTGATTATACGGTGAATTGCTGGCGACATGATTAAGAAAATCGAGAAGTGTCTCAAGGGCCTCCCGATGCTCATCAGGTAGCAGCAGTAAAACACACTGAACGGCATCAGGTCTGAGTTCCACAGGGACATGCTGAAAGATAGCAATAAAAGTCTCGGACAATTTATTCGTCAGCAGAGCCTCAGGCAATTCCCTGAAGTACTGCTTCACGAGGTCAGCAACATCAAAAGCCTGTTGGCCATCAAAATTGATATTGTCCCCTTGAATCTCAGTCATGGCTTTGAGTTTCTGAATTCTCGATCTCACTCCACTCTTCCTGAATATCCCAATTTGATCCAAAGCGTTGGCTCGCAACCAGCGCAGAGCAATCTGCATGCATTTGGGCAGAGCCTGCCCTGTCCTCTGCAGCGAAAGCAGCAATGGCACTCCAAATACAGTCTTGTCCTTGTAATCCGGTGATTTGATCTTTCTGATGAATTTGGGCAGCTCCCAGTTCCAGCCTGTGCGATGCGTGGGACAATATCGCTCCATGCAAGCTGTAAGTTTCAACAGAGCAAGCTTTCTCAGGACAAGAAGCTGTCCACAGGACATGGAAGCCATTGCTCTCTGACACAAAGGATCTAATGGTTCAGGATAGAGTGATCCTCTCTGAAAGCTGTGCCACCTCACAACACTGCTCTTGAGTCTCGGTGACTCTTCCTCCTGATCTGAATCTCTGCTTGCCATTGTTGAACTACTCTCCTGACTAGCCAACTCAGAACTTCTTGATCTCGACTTCTCTCGATAAACCGTCACAGTCACTTCCTTTGCCAATTGTTTGCACTCCTTATAAGAATCATCGCGAACATGTCTAAAGCTCTTGTGGAGCTTCTCCTCCCGTTTAGAGGATTTATCATCTTTGGACAATTTGTCTCTATATCTCTGCGAGTCTTTTCCGAGATTGAGACTTCCCCCTCTGGTGTTGATCTCCTTAGATTTCTTCTCTGGCTTCGGACTCAAGCTCTGATTCTGATGTTGATTCTTCGTCTGCGGCTGAACATTTACGTACTCAAATATTTTTGTGTGATTGCTGTTGGCGTCCTTCAAGTATCTGTGCCTCCAGCTCGATGGCTGACACTCAGAGTCACTCAGGGCGCCCTGATCCTCACGATTTCGATAAAGAAATTTTCTCGCTTTGTTCATTTTGTTGCGAGGTAGTGTCGGTGTGGGTCCACCACCCTGGGAACCGTCAGAGCAGTAGCTGGAGGAGTCATCGCCGAAGGGGCTGGTCAACGGAAGATTTGTCTGAACTGGTAAATGATAGGGCGAGGGTGGAAGGGTCAAGGGTGAAATAGGACGGTTCAAGGGGGACGGGGGTAGGAGGTCAAAGGTCATCGGTGATATACCAGTGGGTGAGACGTCGACGCAATTGAGGTCCTTCATCTTTTGCTGCATTGACATGACATCGAGAACCTGGGGACCACTTATCACGACTCCCTCTCGGTTTTGACGCTTTCGACGTCGTGACTTCAGAGATTCGACGCGCCGTAGAAAAGCTTTGGCACCATCACGAAGACGCTCTGAACCGGTTCTCCGGAATTTCGGTGACATGTCATCCGGAAGGGGATTCGGTGAGGTAGCAAAACGATTATCCATCATTGTGTCGGAGGCTTCCTCGGCCTCGAGACGATCCTCGAGGGACTCCTCCTCGGTCGGTATTTCACCGGCAATCGCTTGGAGGCGCTCGAGATTCGCTTGAGTTACGTCACAAACCCGTGACCACCGTCGGGTTTTCTTCTCGAAGGTCCAGTTCTCGCTCAGGGCGCACTGGGTATCTTCGTCCGAGTCCTCACCACCCCGATTAGACTGCAACAAGAATAAACATATCGATTTTTAACTCCCCATTATTTCACCCCCGATTATGCCACCTAATTAACATTATTGTTATGTCACATGTTATCATTAGTTAGTGGTGGTGGTTTGGCGGTGTTTATGAGGAAGGGAAAATTAATTTTATGAAAATATTGAGAATGGCTAATCGGGTCACGTGGAGCTTGGGTGGGCGGCTTTCGAAAATGCCCCCTCATTCACCACCAAGTTTCGTTACGAAACTTGACGCCTTTGTCACGAGAGGAGAAGCGAATATATGGGGCTGGTGACCTGACCCGTGTGACAATGGACCTAGTTTCACTGCATTATACTGCGCCATTCCAACTACTATCCCACTTTCATCCGATCATTTCTCAAGATTCTGAGACAACTCGATTCCGTCTGATGTCACAATCACAGGTAATGGTTCCGATTGTTTTCTAGGATTATAAAATAGCACGATCTGTCATTTCAGTGGTGAAATCACCGGTATAACTCATGTGGGTAATACACGGTGTTTATGAAAATTGGTGGAGCAATTTTCCGTTGGAAAATTCGTGGATTGTGGAAAAATCACGACACAATTTCAAAAATTTAATCCACTCACATCCCGGTGAATATAGTGATAAATAAAATCAATGCAAATCAATTTTACTCGTCCCGTAAAAAAGGGTGAATAATCACCGTAAATTTGTCAATGTAAAAATAAACAAATATAAATTCTCTCACGTCGCGCTGTGTATTACAAGATGAAAACTGTGAAAAATTGGCTGTAATGACGCAAAGTGTTACAGCCAATTATTTCCCGTGAGAGGTGACTTGCGAAAGTCAATAACGAGTGACTGATGAATGTCTTCAGTAGTTGGAAGAGCATCAATGGAAGTATTCATTCAATCTCATGTTCAACCGTCAAAATGAAAAATCAATAATTAATATTGTTGCACTCAAGTTGGCTGAGCTTTCATACCTAATTAAATAATTGATTGCACAACCGTTTAAATCATACGATTCGGTGTAATCCGATCGCCAAGTAATTACACCTGTGTAATAGATTATTCATTTCAATTTCCACGGGTTAAATTCATCGATCCACAAATGCCTGTTACAAGACCCACAAACATATTGACATCAAACGATTCCATCTACATTGCAATCTCCGGTATATCGTATTATCTCTGGATAACGCGATGCATTCCTCATATCGCCAGAATATTCAAATGATACCTATCAGGGCATCATCCACCATCTCATCAAATTCTGTCATTAAACTCCGCTCGTGAGACTTAATTAGGTCGTAGTAAATTCGAAATTAACTCCCAGAATTCAACTGACGTGAATAAATAAAAAAAAAAGGAGAAAGATACAATTAAATTGATTAAATCATTACGGATGAGAGTACTCTATTATATTCTATTATTTTCAGTGCATCGACGATACGACTTGTTAATAAATTCCTATTGTAATAATTTGTTGTCATTCATATGCAGAGACAAGGGGCAAATGGGCAGTCGTGAGTCACGTTTAATGATATATACGACAAGTACTAATTTGTCTATCTTTAGATCGCGGTATCGAGAGGAACTTTCATGATTGATACGGTTTTACGGATTTCCTCGGGAATTTATCCTGCAATATTTTTTTTTTAATTGAAAATCCTTGTAATAGAATTCAAACTATTTTGAAATAATAAGTGAAACCACCGGAGGTGCAATAAAAACGGTAATATCCTTCTCAGGCGAAGGAGATAATAAACCAGAAGAATTTAAAAGAGAAAAATATACTGAAAAAATCATAAGTACAATATCATCGCCATCTCGTGATGGATTTCAGGTATATTTACTTTCCCCAATGGTTGGAAAGTATTGGGCTCATAAACAATATAATTTTCAAGGCATAAAAAGTCGATAGTAAAATTCAATGGAAAAATATAATGAGTTGAAAGATTTATTCTGGAATTCCCTCGGGATTTTATTGAATAAATCAATTCGGGAATAATAATCAATTGAGAGTAACGGGGCAATTAGGACTTGATCGGACATTGCGATTCAAATTAATGACTGATAATTGAAAAGAACGTGTGAATTATTACGCTAATGTACTCGCATGATTGATACCCCGAAAAAAAAATAATTAAGCGGCTGAGGAAAAACGAACGGCTATCTGTATCGATCAAGAGGTGAATGATAATATCGAGTCATTTAATAAAATAATCGATAATATTATTATGGAGGTAATATTTTATAAATATTTTTTTGATCTGCCAGATTTTAGTACACGACTTGCAGTTGAAACCAGACAATTATCCGAAGAATTCCTGACGAAAAAAAAGTCTCCGGGGCCGTCAATTATTTGGCTCAAGGGATCGTGACATTTTAATTTAATGGTTTCACTTGATTGTCGAATGTCCATTCCTGCGACCGTAATTGCGCACTCGATGCGAGAGGAGCGGAGCGAATTTTTTTTTTTGTATCATCAGCGCGTGGAGAAAGTATTAAAACCCAGTATTATTTTTCGGTGGTAAATATTCATAACTACGATTTTTTTCCATAAAGTTAGCGTCATATATTTTTACGTGGTTGAGTAACGGGCGAGTCAACACGTTAGAGGCATCAATCAACGAAAAAAATGGCGATAAAAATATAAAGACGAAAAAGAATTGCGCGGAATCGATAGAATCGGAATGAAAAATGAAATGAAATGAATGGGAAAGTGATGAGTCAAGATAAATTCCCTCAATGGGATTTTATCCAGAAAATTATGAAAGAAATTGTCGTCGGGATGAAAAAAAAAAATTATCTCTACCGGAATGTGAGGAGTCGAATTTTTATTCTACCTTTTTCCACTCGACTGCAGAATGTCCCTTGATTAATTAGTTCCAACGAATTATCTTCCAGATATTCATCATAACAACTCGACCACCCGTAATCCAACGAGTTTCTGAGAATTACTAATTTTTTCAGACCGACGAATATTTATTTATTCATACTGCGATCTTCGGTTTCATCAACGATATCATTGATAAATCGTTCGTCTCAATCCCACAAAGGCCCGGCCCGTCGAGAATAAAAAGTCGACAGATTCTTGTACTCATATCGATCTCACCCATCGTTACAGAGTTTCCCCTTCCTCGATTTTAAAATAACCGAAGGACTTTCAGTACTTGAATTTTTTTATGAAATACTAATAACTTCAAGCGAGAATGACATCATGACTGCAGAATGCAGTCAATTTCACTGGATGACATCAGTGATTTCAACGACTGCATTAAATTCATTATTTCATTGACACCAATCGACAGAAATTAAATCTGAATTTTTCAACTTTTAAATCTCATTTTAATTATGTGGTAAATTACCTATTGCCAGAATAATTTTATAATTAACGAAAATGTCAAGCTCGACCCACCCCTTTTACCTTTGAACTAATTAGATTGAATAGCCGATAGTCTCTCATTAAATTTGGCGAGATATAAATTACATTGACAACGAAATTTCATCAAGACCGCTAAAAATAAAATATACTCTAAATATCTCTGGATTTAAAAGAGATATTCAAATTTACGTAATTACCTTTTTTGCAGCTCTCATTGCGCTCGACAAAAAAAGTAATAACAAAAATTTCGCTATCTCTTTTACCTTTCGAAATATTTCTCGAAAAGTGCAGCACCAGAAATTTTCACGTTAATTTCGTTGAATTACGGATGATGGAAAAAGACAAAAGGTGATATATATTTTTTTTTCTCGTTTTCTACGCAACTTCCCTCAATAGTTATCAAGGATTTCCGTCCCTCCACAATTCTCGTTTCAGTACACCATTTTTTTCATTGTTTCCCTGTGAATGAGTATCAATAGTGAAGCATTCACATTCCCCCGAGCAAAATGGAGCAACGATGCAACATCGACAATACAAATAGATTTCTATGCCCAGTCATTCGATTTCCAATCGCTCCATGTTTTTTTTTTGTCCCGTGTCAGTCTGCAATCCACGCAACGAGAACCCGTCGCACTGAAAAATTTATTGATCAACTTTTTTTTTCAACAGTCGCATTCCGCCATTTATCCTCTCTACTCTAACCCATAAAAAATGAAAATTAAACAACTATTTGTTGCATCCCATAAAACAGTGCATCCCGCCATTATTCCTTGAACTAAATCCAACAATTAAATTCATAGTGATGTGCATTAAAAATAATCAATACCGCAGGAAAATTCATTCATCAATTATTTTCGCGAGGAAAATCCGCGGAGAAAAAGTCACCGGGCTGTGTCAGGAAAAATAATACGTGACGGTATTTATTTTTTTTTTCCCTGTACCGAGAGTCGCTCGATCGATCACTGATTTCTAATGACCGATTTTCAATCTACGCATAATTGCAGTGGACTAGGCGGTATAAAGAGTGCCAAGCAGTCTAGTCTGAAAGAGAACAAGGGACTGAGTTGTTCTCTCTATTGGACAGCTCTCCATCATGTGCAAGTGCAGGAGAAAGGGAGATGAAAATAATGAGAGAGAGAGGGAGAGAGAGACATCCGGTTTTTGCGTCTAACGAGCGACCGGTTATTGCGTAGTCGATCATAAATGTACACTAAGGAGTGTATATGCGCAAACGTAACCAGACGGATTTTAGCGAATATATCGGACGATCTTCTGGGTTCATATGGAAGCATGAGTAGACTACCTTGAAGTGTGTCGACCATGCGTGCAGTATAGAATTATAATAACCACCAGGAATTATTATATTTCAAATAATTTTTTCCCCCATTCAAATTCAAAAAAATTGTAATTAGAAAATATTTGCTATTAAATTGCAGTTGAGTTGAGTCGCAACTAATTCTTTTTTTTTTCAATTGCAGTAATGAAGATATTGATTGCAAAATATATTTATATAATATCGGATTGATTTGGATAAATGGAAAAATATTTCCAAGAGATAAAATGTTTGTGGCGACTCCACTCACATATTTCACATTCGCGGATTGATTGACTGATAATAAATTTCTAAAAATCGATAGAGGAGAGATCAATTGACTCAATTGATGCATCAATACCCCCATCACTCCCTGATAATCCTGTATCATCTGGAAATAGCATTAACTTAATCAACATTAACGCACCCAGGCGCTCCTCATAAATTCCAATGGCTTTCACGGGCTGGCTGTTAATCATTGTTCGCACCGCAGTATAAATAAATAATGGACCATGTGTTGAGTCGAGTGGGGGACTTTGGGTGTGAGATAGGAGGTGACTCTCTTATTTCCCCCCTCGTGAACTCGTTTCGCTCAAGAGTTATCGCGGTCCCTTCAACCTGAAGAGGAGAAATTACAATTCGCATCAAAGGAAAAAATTAGTGGAAATGAGAGAAAATGTGTTACGATGCCAGGCAGTCTGGAGAGTGCGAAAGGATCAAACGAAATGAATCCAGCTTCTTGAATTAATTCATGTTATTCATTAATTTTTTTTTAGTTTATATATATTTTTTTTTTTCACACCCTGACTTGTTCCCGGGTACGCGGAGCGGTGAAATCATCCCGTTGGCTCCGAGACCCCGGGAATTTGTCGTGAAAACTCTCGAGAGTGGCCGACTTGGTTGTGACATCGTAATTGCTAGGTAATTATCATTGCCACTGGGGAAATGGGAGGACTCGGTGGTCGCGGGGGGTGCCGATGGATTGAGCGATCTTAGAGAGTGTCAACCTATCGTGAAAACATGGATTTTCTATAATCGAGATTGAGGTGAGATTGGATTCCAGAGAGAGATCGAAAGATGAGGGAATGAAATTATTTCATCTCGGTGTATAAAAAATATACAATTTTCGCCAGTGCGATAATAGCAAAATTTTTTCGCTAGGAAAATTTTGAAAATTGAAAAAATTGGAAAAATTTGGGAATCATTGCAGAAACCAATGGAGATTGCAAATTATTGAACGAATTTCGCCTGGAGAGGTGGGGGGCGTGAAAATGGTGAAAATTCAAAGTCCGAGGAATGAGAGAAGAATGTGGGGCGAATAAGGTGCGAGAAGTGAGGATTGTCCTCGAATTGTTATATGAGATCCGTAGCGAGGTTAAATTGTTTGTATATATTCTCGGTTGATCATTATAACCTTTATAACGGTGCGACATAGAAACGCGCAAGAAGTCGCACGAGCTCACAATCCGGCGACATGAAACAGGACTAAAAAGGAGACCACGAAAGGAGTCAACTTCTCGACGAAGCGTGTAGCGGCGCTAATGACCACTTCCCGTTCGCGGTTTTTCCAACTGGCCGATGATAAACGAGGTATGCAGGTATATCATTTATACCAGTGAGGATTAAAGTGGAGTCAAAGATCTTCATGTTGATCGTTATTCTCAAATCGTTTGGGATTCTCTCTTTATTTTTTCGTTAATGTCAACGAGGCGATCACGATTTTTATCCTCTTTATGAAATTATTGGTAATTAGATGGAGATTTCACTTAAAAATTTATCAATTACCTCCCGGTGAAAGGATTTCACCTGTTTCGGGCGATTTTTTGTTTTATGGAACTTCGATCTCTCGATTTTTATTCCGTTTTCAGGGATTTTGATCGCCGATGAAAATCGGGTATTGGAATCGATTGAATCGAGGGTTTTTCAGTCATGAATGACCGAATAAGAAAGTACATTTCAAACGAAAATTTTTCGGGGGAAGAGTGAAAGGATGCTGCAGGGGTAATATCTGATGATTCGATCCAGCATTGAAAGTCTGGTTGATATCACACGCGGAAGAAACGAACATCAACGAGAAAAAAAAGGAACACAACATTAATGAAGGCCTCTGAGTTAGGTCGCAGATCTCTTGGATGATGGGGCGGTCTTTTTATGAAACTCCGCGTCCAATTGACCGACAGTGGAAGGCCACAAGTGCTTAAAAAACAGATCCACGATATTGCTGAAGGCTTATTCTTAACAGGAACGTATTAAAAGACCTCGAGATTAAAATAAAAAAAAAACTACTGTAATGCGAAGAAAACTTTGCCACAGGATTTCTCTGCATTAATAAAATTGAATTATCTCAAAAATGGCTTGAAAAAATTGTTCACTCCAGAGAAACGGAATCAAATTAACTGAACGTGATTTGAATAGAATAAATTATTCTAATCGTTGTTTAAAAATGCGAGGTGGGCGCACGGCCATATTTAGAATTTCTCGCGGGGGAGAGAGGTACCTCGACAAAATGGCGTTACTCTCCTGCACCCAAGGCCCTAGAGTTCGAGAATTTTGTCGTTTCATTCAAAAAAATTTGAAATCAACTTTGAATTGAGGAATAGATCAATATAATAATTTTCTCCCACGCGTTCTTCGATGGATTATTTTTTAGAGAGTCAACAACTGAGACATCTACTTTACAATTGCACCACTCGAGAGTAAAAATGGCGAAGAATTGCCCCCCCCCCCTTCCGGCGGAGGACTAGAGGCTCTAGGAATGCCTCGATACATGTACCACGAGTAAAAAACAATTATTTATTCATTACCAATGCAATACACGTCGCTTGCGTTATCCATTGGCTTCCGGTGAGAGTTTGAATAGTGCAGCTGTACCCACAACAAAACTCTTCACTTTATTCGATTATATAGTCAATGTCTGCTCACCCTCTGAGCATTTTGTGGTAACGAGTGGAAATATACCCAGTGGTTATTCAAAGCCCCGTTTATGGGCATGAAAGTTGGACTTACATGTAAGGTACGGGGTAAAAATCTATGAAATCCGTTCGCCACGGATTCTCACTGTCAACTTTTAGTGTGAAAGCGTGGCGAACTAATGTGCAGAGCTACCAAATGTGTTGATTAAATGATTTATGACGATTATTGCATTCGAGAGGTGAAATTTAATGAGTTGAATATGACGGGCTTTTTCAATCGCGCCATTATCCTCCGTCATTCTCTCTCCGTCAAAAAAATTGACAATAAAAAATCTCCAATCCTACGATATTGTTTATATTTTAAATAATATTTTTCATGCAAATGGGACCATTTACGTATCTCTGACGATCGTGTATGGAAAAAAATTTTTAATTGCAAATTGAATAGGTGACATGTGACATGTCACGTCATTCATTCAGAATAAAAAATATATTTTCTTCCCTATGCGAAATGACGAATGGTTTATTTGCATTCACCAATGACTCAGGTACGTCAATTTCGTATATTTATACTGCCAAATGTTTCCCAGAATCAAATGCTAATTTTCCGATCCTTCGAGTGCCGTTTAAAGGCACAAGGCATTAGTTAGCACTTGTGTCTTGAACGTTTCTACGAAGGAATAATGCCTGTTTTTCTTTTTACTTCTTCGTTCAGTGTCAATGAACTCCCTGCACACCCAAATATATTTCTTTCTTTTTCCTACTCTCTAATTCGGGAATGGCAAAATTCTACATGCAGTTTCTCAGAATAAAATCCACCACCTATAACATTTCTGAGCAATTGCATTTTAAATTTGACTGTTGGTTCAGGACCTCTCAGATATTTTCAGAGGTCGGAAGAAAAACAATTGAGATAATTGTATTTGATCAGTCAATGAGAATTCAATGTTTTCAGTTCTTTTCAGTTTTTTTTTAGTTAAAATTGACTCCAGTCATTGTGAATATTGACCTAATTGATTTCAATGGATATTTTCTGTTAATTCAGGGTTGGAGATTTTTTCGCTTTTGAGAGACTAAGAATAATGTTACCATTTATGGTCAATTAAAGTACTCAAGCCACCGTGTATCAAATTATATTCAGCAGTGCAAAGCCGGTTTTCAAGCAAATGTATACAAAACATTGCGTTTTCTGACGCACAATGGTTACGCCTGACGCACCGCGGTTAATCTCTTCATCTCTGTCACACACTCTCAGACATTCACCGTAAAACGCCTACCTTTTTCAGGTAATCCGAGGTACCACGGATACCTTTTTTTAACATTTTTCGTATAAAAACCGGAGTATTTTTCGGTTACGACTTTGTAAAAATAAATACCCCCAACGAGCCATAATTTTTTTCCCAACCGTCGCGCCTACATTTTATTACTTTTTCGGTGGACCCTCAGGTCTACTTAATTTGTGGGCTAGTCTTTTACTGTCTTTCGAGATTAATATTGTCTAAATAAAATTTGCTCGCAAGATGATTTATTTGCGTCTAGACTTTATCGCTCAAATCCCTAAAATCAGTGGAACGGAGGACGCGAGGTGTCCACGGGGAATCCCCTGAAATCCCAAAAAAAGATCCGAGAGATAACGGAAATCCGACTGACCCTTAAATGCGGTATTGTGTACCGATGACCTATCGAGGGACAAGTAAAAAAAAATTTGGTCCCTACGTGACGTCAACAACGTCCATCAAGACCTTTTCCCCAGAGGTTCCGATACCCCGTGGACCTCCGGACAATTCGAAATTGTGACGGATCTAATGATACGAACGAGGAACGACATGAGCAAGCGAAAAAAAAATATTAAGAAAGACCGCCCAATGATTTTTGATGATTTTTTTTTACTTCGCTTCCTATTTTTTTCACCTTCTGGCAATTGGTTATTTATCATTTTTTGGGGGATGGTGTTTCTTAATATTTAGCAAGTCAATGGGAGATGTGAAGGCGTTGCCCAGGTACTGGACATAATGGTTACTCACGCTTTTGCTGTGGCTCGTGTTATGATGATGGTGGGTGTGATGAGTATCTAACTTCATGTTTGCGCAACGATTGAGTGCGTGAAGTCTACGGTAAAGACTCTGGAGTGAATCAGCTTCGAGAAATGGATGGTCTTTGGCCACTCCTGACACTTCAATTGGAAATTGACAATCTGTAAACACAAATAGATAAATTACCTCCAGAAATATTGACAATTTTTTAATCTGTCAATGTTCAGTCAATTACGTCAGCCATTTCACTACAACTCATTGGATCTCTGATTTCAACGATTGCATGCACGATTATCTCTGATTCAATGACTCATCATTATTTGAACATCATTCAGGTGAGATCAATGACTTCTCCACCAGAGGAATTATTTTTTAAATATATTTTTCCAACGGAAAATTCATCTCGACATTTTTCCTGTGGAGCGACTCGTTATCGAGATAATTTCCTATTCAATCGGACGTGGAAAAATGATGATGCAATTTTGGATTAATTTCGGCTCGTCGCATGAATTTGAGTTTAAAATTCATGTGACGAGTCAAAAGATCGAATGAGTCATGTAACAAGAGGATAAACAACCAATCAATAATCTGAGATCTATTGATATTATGACATCACTGATGAATTTCCCACATCATCCTCCACTTTCGAATCGATAGACGACTGAAATTTCCGTCGTTCAGATTGTGTCATCAAGGACAGGATGTTGTTACCCAACATAACTTGAGTGAATATATTATCAGTTTGAGAACAGTTTCTGGATGATATATGCACCGAGTTACTCTTCCGCTCTGTCAATTTTAGGATGACACTTCACGGTATTCACCTGTCACCAGAATTATCTATCGAATGGACTGAGTAATTAATGCAAAAATAATGTTGTAATACCGTACCCCGTAGGAGACCCCATGGAAACAACTACTGCATACAAAAAATATATTTGTCATGTGGAATATCAAGTAGAAGAAATAAAAATTCTGGTCACAGACAATGGACCACTCATTCTCTATTCCTCCTCCATTTGTTGTGGTCGGACCCTCGAGAACTCGAAAATCATCTCGAGCAAATTTTAGGTTGAGGTATTCCAAACGAATTCATATAAATCATTGTATATTTTTTCATCCTTTATCTTCCCTTAATGGTTTGGGTTGGACTATGAATTTTTAATGCAAAGTTATTCCCCCGAGATGTCTACGATTATTATTTATGCATTTTATTTTTAATGTTGAGATATTGAGATAGGATAATTGCTTCCGCTGATGAAAAAAATACTGACAATTCCCGTGCAGCTGAAATTACTATGGAAATTTCTCTCGTTGTAATTCGAAGGTTTCAATACCTCAGCTTTCCAATGCCAACCCTTCGAATTTATTTCCTTCGAAATTATTTAACCCTGAAGATTAACATATTATTCCTGGGCACTTGTGTCTCTCATTGCAAATTCTTCACGTGTCCACGATTTCCGATTTAAATTCAATTAAGAGGGGAATTTGAACAATAATATTCCTTCAATCTCCTTTTTTGTCAGTCTCGCATTGAAATTGACAACTTTTAAGGAGTGAAATCAATTCGATACTCATGGCAACGGAAAACCCAAGGATTTCCTCGATTAAAACGAATAATTCGGCCCAAGGTGAATTCCCTGATAAACACGTATCAATTTAAAATCATTGACCAACAACCAGAAATGGGATTTCATGCATTTTTGTTTAAAAAGATATTTGCGCTGTCGGAGTATCAAAGTTTGAGAGTATCAATTATACAACTCCAGATTGCTGTACCAGAAATGCTCGGTAATTAGTCCGTTACATCAGGCCAGTTTGATACCGTTATGATGCATCAATTAGCATCATGTATCTTCGTGATACGAAAGAGAAGAAAAAAAATCGAGGAACCAGATCCCAATTTCATTCCTAATGAGCAATATCACCGTCAATATTTATGCCGACTATTTTTCACCGCAAAATTTCTTCTCCCCGGTATTAATTTATCTCCTCCAATGGCTAGGACACGGAAAAGTGAAAAATATTTCACGAAACGGTACGATAACGGTTTATAAAATACTTATGAGTGTCTTCCCATCAGTAGCAGAGGGAAAAAAAGGAAACCATTAATTCTCAAGTGACAGAGACATGCCCTCAACTGATCAACGCACTACAAACAGAGTTTTAAGCCCAGTGTATTGCGAAAAAGACGCCTAACTGTCTCTCACAAGTTAACCAACACATGTATTCAATACTGTGAGTATACACTCGAGTACATTTATCGGTATCGTATTTATATCATTTATTTTCACGCTTGTCCGCCGACGTCCGAGTTCAACTGGGTCAATTAGGTACTATTCATAGGTTTTTCGTTTGAACCCCCGAAGACCATGAGTTACGATTTCCTCGTCTCCTCATGGCCATCTCTATCATCATTATCAATTTTTCAACATCCAGAAATAATACCGCTTCACGTTTTTATCATTGAATTTCAATTCCATCGGATAAAAAAATCAGTGCAATCACCAGACAAGGTATTGACAATCTGCAGATCCTTGGATCCATTTTATTTGCTCACTTTCCCACCATTTGCAGGGACTGCGCCATCAAATGGACTTATTCGGCAATAAAACTGCATTTGGTAATTAAATATTTGGATTTTCAAATAAAAAATGACAAATACATTGAAAAATTGAAAATAATCTCTCCGAAAATTCAGCGATTTGTTAAATTGACAGGAGAATATTTCAAGTATGCAAATCTTGTCGGTCGAGTATTTTTTTTTCCTTCGGGAATATTCAATGATAAATTATTGATTGATCGTTCTGAATTTGGTAAAACGTTGGAAGCGTCAAAGTCGACATGGTCCAAAGGCCCCTTCGAATGTAATTACGCCCACGAGTCCTGAGTAAATATGGTATATAAACTCTGATTCGACACAGAGATGACTTCATCATTGATGTAACGTCCATTGTACATAATATACGAGACTTATTGTAACGTCATCTAATCACTGGGTTCGTTTGGTCATAGACCGTGAACCGTAAAGACTTTCCGTCCATAAATATATGTACCAACAATATTTTTTACCCATTAGAAAATAATTCACGTACTTCTTTCCTCGATTGTCATGTACGCAGAAAATAGCGGAAAATCATTAATTCCTGGCCTTCGATTTGTATCAATAATAGGGTAAATTTTTCCTCCTCAAGATCTAGAACTTGCCTCTCATGACGATATTATCTTGTAAATCCTCTCCACCAAAATCTTCCAACTTATTCCCCCGGGTATTCTCCAACTTTCCTCTGGATACACTTCAGATACTCCCTGAAAGTTCAATGCCTTCTGCGGCTTGATCACGGAATCTTCTCACGGTATCCATGACTGTCGGCACTGTTTTCCCCCGGATAATTCCCCCAATGTTTATATTGATGAAGAAAAATAAATAAATGAAGAGAAAAAAAAAATGAGGGAATCCTCACAACGAGCACCACTATCCTCACCATATGATTATACCCGTAGAACACGAGGTTGTTACAGTGAAATGAGTTTCAACCACGAGGTCCTTGACACAAACGGCCGAGGTTCAGCCTTCACCTGACTTCATTCACTACCTTCCACCCCGGACAAATCCATCGATTGCACATCAACAATCAAGATCAATCTATTGAGATCGGCGACTGATCTTTATCAATTGCATTATCCAAAATTCACATCGTCCCGAAAATTATCGCTCGAGTCAGACAGCGATAATCACTCGTTATTGTCGTGGAATTAATGCAATTTTAGGATGAAAATGACAATTATCCTCGCTGTGTAAGAGTCGATATACAACTAGCGGTCTGGAGCATGCAGCATCCGTATAGAAGAGGTCGGAATGAGTAACGAAAATGTGGTGGGGAAATGATGAAGAAGAGGGAGTAGTGGTTATGGTGGGAAGTTTCTGGAGTCGCATGTGGTTTAAAATTCACTAGTCCATACCCTCAAGCTACTTTTTTCGTTACACGATGTACCCGAGAAAATTCGCGACTTCCATCGAATGAACGCGGAGACAAAAATTCGCGAATAAATCACGGAGCGAATTTGAAATTTTATCAGATTCCATTGCATATCAATTTAATTTTTTTTATAATTATCTAGAGTATTCCATTTTTTGTTGACATAATTTAGTCAATTGTATATTGATCTACTTAGGTGTGGGAATATATATATATCGATGAGGAAATTTATGGTTTATCCTTGTGAGACCATTCGTGTAGGTTTATCTTGAGTTTGCGACGCGGGAGGGACAGGCGAGAAATAAGAGAGTGGGAGTTGAAGAAGTGTGTGATGTGAGGAGTGATGAGGTGGGATGGGAGGGAGAGTGAAATGAGAGTGAGAGAGTTAAATGAGAGAGAGATAATGGTTTTGTGGAGTTGGTGCTATGTTTAACCGACGGCATCGGGGAGGTCTGGCGGTGCAGCAACGGCCGCAACAATGGCTTTTCATTAAATTCAATTTTCGGTGGAAAGGTTAGGCTAAGGCTATTTGCGGGGAGAATTATTCAGGGTTATTGATGGTACTTATTGGCATATATATGGCATTACCGGACCATTTATCTTATTTGAGTGAGACAGATTCATTCGGCTTTTGAATAACGGGAATTTTTATATTTGAATTGAATTCGTTTTGAATTGTACTTCAAGTTCTGAATCAAGTTGGTCAATTATCTGTCATATTGACTTGATTTTATGGTGCACCAATTATGACTTGACTTATGGGACTTGAAAAAAATGGTAGACCATTTTCAGGCGTTCGGGACTTGAACTTGCGATCTGCCGGGTGTGAGACAACGAATTTATCCACTGCGCCAAGTCGATAACCGATAGATGAGCTTTTTACAGCTTTTTTGAGGTGAAACTCATAAGTAGAGAAGACAAATCTATTTCCATTAATTTATTATGAGGCAATACGAATGAAGTGTCGATTGTGCGAGATGAATGATGAATTGATGGTGGAAAAAAATTGGCTCTCACCGAAACAAGTATTCATCGGCTTGAAAAAATATTTTGAAGAATTCAATTATATTCTTTCTTTATTGTAATGAGTTTTTGAATGAGACTTCCCACGCACATTATTCACGATCGCGCAATTGCTGGAGTGCAGATTTTCTCGAGATTTCATACAATGGTATCCGTTAATGTTCACCGCGTGATTGATGAACCATCAAGATTACAGCCCTCACTCGCAACGAACCGTTTAGCGAATGACAAAACGTATCAATTTGGCAATCACAATATTTATTGAATATTTCCATCCGCGAAATCAATTCAAACGGCATCTAACATCTGGAATATCTGAGAGATATAACCGCGTAGGAGATTGGATATCTAATTACAATTTCAATGAATCAAATGTTCGATTGGAGTGAAAATAATCTTATCCGTTAATGTTATTTTCTGATGATAAACCATAAATAGATTCATCCGATGGAAATATGTTTACGGGCAAGATGAAGGAACGAGTTTCAGCGACCTTGTTGGAAATCCTCAACGCACTTGAAGAAATTTACTTATCTATGAATGCCGGAAAAATAAATATTCAACTGGCCTTTTTTTCAAGAATAATACTTTACAGTTATAATTTTACCGTAACATGGGGCACATGAAATGACGTTAATTCTGGTAAAATGGCGTTAGCACTGGTTCAATTACGTGGGATGCAAGGAAGTGAAAAATCGTTTTATTTAAAGTCGCAGGAGCAAAGAGCAGTTGAATCGTTAGTTGGAGAGTGAAAAGACCATTTTAAATGACTCCAATAATTACTCGATCAATTATCCAATGAAAAACGGCAGTTTTGTGGGTTTAAGTAATTATTATAAATTCTTGGGAAAAATTGCAAAGTGGCTTTTGAGTTAATTATAGATAAGTTCAGTGTACGACTGAACGTTGGCCACCAAGTGAGAAATAAGACGAGGGTAATTTAAAAAAAAAGGCATTCCATCGTGTAGCAAGAAGACAATTTCATGGAATCGTACGCATTTAGGTATAGGCCTCAAACGACCCGGTGGTTTATTTTTGCACAGTAACTTTTTTATTTTATTTCCGAATGTATTTAGCAGTGTCCACTAACTCCCATGCCAAATCTCATTTGAAGTGGTTGTATTTGACTAGTACATGACCAGCAATATATGTCAAATGATTATCATGTCTTCGAAAGAAAGTCCATGGAAAATGGAAATTTAAGTGGATAAAAATTTACATATCAAATGTGAAAGCCATTATACCTTCCCAATCATTATCTAATTCCAATTTTCAAATTTCTGGATATTTCCATTTCATTGATTTGATACACAAGAGGTGAAACAAATTCACCCACAGAACTGCCATTTGTCAGAGAATCACTCGTTCATCTTGATGAGTTATATGAGGTCCAGATAAAAATAAACGCCAAGTCTTTGAAATATATTTTACGTCAATTTTATAAATGTTACGTCTTTCGTTATTCTTTCCGCGAATTTTTTTTTCGAATCTCGTGTGAGAAATTTTCGGCGAAAATTTCGGGAGTGATTTCGATAAAATTATTTGATTGAGTTGAGAGGAAAAATTTTTGAGGTGAAGAAAAATCGAGGGACAGCGTCATTGAGCTGTTTACGAATTTAATGGTAAATGCTTTTGGAGAGAATAAAAAAGTGCAAGATGCGCGTCCTTAAATGGTATGGAAGAATTTCAGCCTACGGGATTATTGAGACAACATGGCACCACGCTGGCTCAATTAATTGATGATTCAATCGAAGAGTAAACTCATCCAATGCCCACTCCTTTCTGTGGATCTTTATCAATTACTGAGTCGTGAAAATAACCGAAATCAGGTGCTAAGAATAGAGATAATCCAGAATTAGAGCGACATTGACCCGTTTACACCTGGCTCCAATGATTTTGTTGTCTTAGCGATAATTCGCGAATTTTTCAATGCCCATTCGCCATACGAATGCATTGACGTCAGCAAATGCCCTGCGATACGAGGACGAGGTTTTTTAATTCTCATTGTCACCCGTCAAATCTGCCCTGACGTATTAGCCAATTAAAAAAAACAGCAAACGAATTTGAAATTTCTAAAAATTGATGTTGGGGGAATTCTTTTTCATCACCGGTGAGCGAAAGTGAATGGTGTTTTATTCATTGAACTCATGAATACGAGGTATTTCAAAAATTTAGTACGTGGGGTGAAGTTAGATCTACAAACGACTCTGACAGCTCTAGTACAATACTTATGGCACAGAAATATCCGCTTCTACTTCGGGTTTACAAGATTTATCACCAGGAATCCTATTGTCTTCACCGTGAAACTCAGACTTCTCGAGTGAATCACATTTTTTCCAACATCTTCAGCGATATTTTTTTCTTTCGGAGACAAGAATTGTATTCAAATCACTCCGCGACCCAGTTTTTCGTCCACACTTCCCCAGAAATTGAATTAAAAATAGAATTTCACTTTTTCCATTTGTTTACTGATTTACCTCGGTTAAAACTTTCATGCGAAAAGGTCAATAATCCGATCAATAGTTTGAAAACAATTTAACTGAATCCAGAGGAAAACGCAAACTTTTTTAATTAATCATTTTGGTGCATTGGAAATTTATTTCTCTGTTATCTATCGGAAGATTTATGATTTTTCATTTTTGATTGATATTCGTTAATTTATTCTCAGCCTCGGCCCTTATTCTTTCAGACTGACCTCTGCCAAAATTAATGAATCATTAATAGCCGCATGCTCAATAATACACTTCTCCTAACAAGATCCAAACTAAAATAATACACAGATGTTTTTTTATTTGACGGAAATACAGATTTAGCCTTCACCCAAATCGATTGTTTATACTGTTGGATGGAGTAACAAATGTAATCCTCCACTGGAGTAAAAAATTTTATCTCTTCGAAATAACCCTTTAGCATTTGAAATTTTTGAAATAGTTGATGGTTGTCCCAGAGCAATAAACAAAATAATAATAAATCATCGAAAAAGTGAAAATGTCTATTTTCGCATTGCGTGTGCGACGGGAATAACTAAAATTGAAAATTTCAGGGGAGTGGATGAAAAAAAAGGTAAAAAGTGAAATATTTCCGAGAAATAATCTAATTTCCTCGTGATATGAGTTAGATGTATCCCTTCATTCATTTCGATGTCCCAGAACATCTCTCCGGCAACCGAGTCTCGTAAAATCCCCAAAATTTTGGCTCAGAGCCTATGAAAATTGTTGATCTAATTGTCCACATGTCAAAAAGGAGTCAGACTCCTCCGAGTTTTCCACGAACGACATTTCTATTCACGTATCACTGTAACACGACTTTGCCACACGTCAGTCCAACGAATTATTCCGAGTAATTAATGGAAAAGCCGGTGGTATCACATGAAAGAGAAGGTAGGACAGAGAATAAAGAGGAAGAAATCACTGAGAGAGATTTCTACATCAACAGCTGCAAAACGACGTTTCTGGGTAAAAGACAGACCATCTAGCCTGTGGAACGGACAATTATGTGAATACAGAGAACAACCTGGAGGCTTTAACCAGAGAATAAGGAACGAGAATAGGAATTCAACGCCCTGGCAATGATCCATACCGTGGAATACACTAATGGAATAACCAAGAAAACACTGCTGTTACTTCCTGTCATTGTACGCACGTGCATTTATTAAAAAAATACTATTCCTACCAGCGAAATTCAATTTATCCAACTCACTCCCTTCAAAAATTGCCTGACATTTTTTTTTTTTCATATTAAAATGACCTACGCAATCGATGACCCAAATAATTTAATCCTCCCGGAGAATAAAAAATAAATGCCAATTTAGGATTATAGAATGTATAGAATGTATGTGGAATAATCTCGTGAATGTGTAAATATGCCAATTTGTCATTAATTTTGCGCGATTATTAATTTGTCGTGTTATTAGAGCAATAATCCCCTGGCTGTATCCAGATAATACCCAACGTCCCTCCCCAATTTCTGGTAATTAATCACTAAAAATTTCTCTAATTTGTATGTAAATTATTCCATAATTGAAAAACAATTTCTCTCTATTACTTACGAATATTATCGACACTGCGCATTGGAAATGTTCGAAATAAACATCTCAACATCAATAAATCTCTCTACCTCAGCCTACACTTACATCATCGACCCATTTCTATGTTCTTACGAACAACTAGTTGTTACAATTTAATAACCCAAAAAGATGGCCAACTCCAACTACCATAGAAAATCCAAGACTCATTTGAATATCGACTAGTACCAATAAATAATTAACTATAGATAATTTATATGGAATGATTAATTGAATTTCTATTGAAAATCGATTGAAAATTATTGACATTAAATGTGGAGTTATCGGAGTGTAATGAGTACTTGAACTTGAATGAGGATTTTCAGTATTTGTACCGAAAAATCGGTAATCACTCGATTATTTGAGAGAAAGGATTACAACCGCATTGAAATGAGTGTCTCGATTTCAAGCACTAATTATCACTGACGGCCAAGACATTAGATAGCTCAAACCTTTCACAGTGAAAGTACCAAGCTAGGACAGTTGATTGTCACATGTAATTATTATGATAAATTTTCCGAAGGTGTGCGCAAAATATACTCTGCACTATCCGTTACGTGATTATTGATTACACCTTGGAATAGTGAATAGTGATTGAGGAGACAAGTGATGCAATTATCTCGATACCAATATCTTTTTTTATCTCATTGTTGTAATGAACAATGCAGACAAAAACCGGGAGTTTCAATCAGAAGTTGTGAAATTATTGCGAGTACGGAGCTGTCGGTGAGATTTAATGGAATATTGCTCAAGATTATTCTGTTTTTCACAATGTATTCACCTCAGATTTGTATCAACTAGCCCTAGGGTTCCCCTTGTTTATATCTACTCGAGAGTATCGATACAAATTGCGTCATGAATCTATCGATTTTATATAAGAGACGAGCTGGATAATTCGGGATTGAAAAATAAAAGAGACAAAGTCCCACGAAAAAATAATTCAACGAATCCCCACGAAGAATTATTGAAAATAATAATTATCATATTGATAATTAAAGCGTTATTATCGAGTAATTAATTATTTAATTCATGCAGAATTTTATAAATCACTCACCCTCGTACATCTGCGCGTATTGAGGAAATCCAGCTGCCCGCAGCCATTTGCAAGCTTCCTGAGCTTCGATCTCTGAAAAAAAAAAATGAGATATATATGAGATATGCCCGAGAAAAAATATTTTACGTAACTATCGCCCATCAATTTTCAACTCATAATAGAATCTGTTTGAGTATTGAATATAAATTCCACGTGTAGAAAATTTCTGACGCATTCATCGTCATGAATAGGGGCGTTGCGACGATCAGATATTACTACACAGATTGCCATCAAGATATTGATGAACCAACTTTCATTTTCAATAACAATTTAGACCTCTAAAGGGATAATGAGTCGGAGAAAAAATCCATTAAAAAAATTGCTTGCCCATAATTTTTACATAATGTCACACCGAGAGGTTTCTCTTCTAAAAACAAATTTCATAATTCCCATTGTTTCTCAACTATAAACAATTGCGTAATCACAGAAATAGAGAATAATTCAATTTTTCGATTTGAATGAATTTTTGTGATTTTATTAAATAATTAAATTTAATAATTTTTTTAAATTGTTATTTGATATTTTTAATTCAAATGTCAAAGAAAACTTTTTAAAAGAACAGGTGAAGCCGTTAGACCTATAACTATTGCAACAACGAGGATCAATCATCATTAACCCCCCGGAACCTAGACATTAACATGTTATATTTGCCCTGTACATCGCGCACATCTCACAGTCAATTTTTATCTCCCATATTTGACGTAACCATTCCCAACGGTTTACTCGTACAAATTGCCGTTTAGATCATTACCGCTGATTATAACGTAGCATCTCAGAGAATCGAATCTCCCACCAAAAATGGATGACGTCAGATGATCGATCAGTGATTCTATATTGTCTATGATCTTTCGAGTTTCTAAAGAGTTTCTAAAACATCAAAGCACTATCCCACCTCTGCCCAATAAAATTCGCGTATTAATTGCACAATAAATCGGTATTAATTATTTATTTGAAGTTAATTCACGATGAGAGACTGCACTGACCTGATGTCCACCTAAAAAATATATTTTTCCACCCCAACTCAATAATTCTCCCATCGTACTAAATAAAAAAAAAACCAGTACCAGCAAAACCCCCCTCGTATCCGCTTACAACAAAACTCGTTCTCATTGAAACAATCGAGGAGTTTCCGCCCGAAGTCTCCAACTTTGGAATTGAACTTGTTGAAATAAAAAAAAATAACAACTCGTCATTATTCTCTCCCCCGCCCAAAGGTACATGTCGCATAATGCAAGCGATTCAACGATTTTTGTATAGAGTCAATGTGAATGACTGGAGAGTGAGAGATGATGAAAATAAGAGGAGATAAGTCCTTTAAAAAAACCACAGGCAAGATAAATAAATGAATAAATAAAAAATAACATAAAGGGACAAGAGAGACCGGTTGTGTCGGTTATCTTGTCGTTGACCGTTCCATCGTTCGAGTTTTATTCATGCTTTCTGCAAAATACCGCCGACGATGAGAGGTACATCGTCTTCTTGTATACCTCTTCGCCAATTCAACTCGCGTAAGTCCCCCTCCCCCCCTCTTACCCCCTTTATTCCCGACCCCCTGTCCCCCCTTGAAAATCCTCTTTCCATTGGCAAAACCCAAGCCGCGCATTCCAGTCAAGAATTCAGTGTACCCCTTGTCTCGTTCTGTTCTTCAGCTTCCCTTGACATTTCTTCAGCTGCTTCTGGATAAAAAGTACCGAGTTCCTTCGTTTATTTCATTCACAACCCACCGAGACAGCTGCTTGTTCATGTATCCCTTTTATTTATTCAATTATCCAGTAATTTTTTATTCATCACAGAAATCCATTTTAAAAATTCTAATCAATTATCCGAAAATCACTGAAATTATTTAGCCGTCGGATTTATTTTGTTTATTTATTCATTTTTTTTAATGATTATTTGTCAATAAAAAAATTTTTTTTGGAAATGTCGAATTATGATTTGAGTTTGAGAGACATAATAAATTGAATAGCTATGGGTAATTGGTTTAAAATTAATTAATTCCACAATTTAAAAAGAAAAAAAATGGTTTTTGGAATAATTAAAGTTCTGTAACCTTTGCACCCATCACATGTCCCGCAGAATTGGAATAATTGTTGTCAGTGGTCTTCTAATTGACGCATGTGTACACAAACCCCAATTAGTTAGGCCATTTGACTGGAATTAATCCGAAGCAAACAATCCCGATGACTCATGAAAAGCGGAATATAAGGGTTTGACTAATCGAGTGAGTGTAGTTGTGTTGAGAGGCCGAATAAGAAACAAGTAGTGGCTGATGAAAATAAATGTAAAACAAATATTCGCGTACTGTATACGTGCGTGGAAACGGGAATGAAGATGAATCACGAGCAGTACAGAGAGTTTCAAGTTCTCAATGAGAGCGATCGTCATTGATTTATAAGTAGCTGAAGTCCAGACCGATGAAGAATTTAAAAAAAAAATGTGGTCAGCCGTATGATATCGCTAAGTACAATGGTTATGCATATGGTAATGAGTCAGAAGTCATTAATAAACATGAAGCCGAGGATTTCAATCTGTTCATTATAGAATCCCTTTCCACAAGAAATCGAACCGAGAGATCATTTTATCCACTGTAGAAAAATTCATTGAAAAATATAAACAACGATGAAAAAATTGACTGGAAAAAATTAGAAAATAGTTGGGATGGGATTTGTTGACGGGGTGTCCGTCAATAATAAAAATTTCTAAATGTTCCGGAATTCCGGAGATCGAAGGAGGAAATCTCCACCTTCCAGGTCGGAAGTCTGGAGCATCTGGAGATGATGAACGACTGGCGAATGATAAATAAAAGCGTGGAGTTATCTACAATCGAATGGAGATGGAATTTCGATTGCTCCATTCTCAGTTATTCAAGAATTTTTCCATTTTCCTCTATCAAAATATTTCAGAAAAACCCGAGAAGAATGCGCACTAATTGAAAAATGTAGAATTGTCGTATTTCCCGTGGGGTTTGGGAAAAAAAAAATCAGCACACAGGGCACATTAGAAAGTCATGAATGGGGAATAAACGGGGGGGTGTGGGAATCACCGGGAAGAACAAAAATGATTGATAAAACAAAACAATATATCGTAGGAAGCGAAGTAAAGAGACGTGAATGGTGAACTTTCTGTGAGATCATTACCGCGACTCGATGCCACGCACCTCCGAGATACTTCAGATGTGCGTAGGTGGATTATAACAAGATGAAATATCCTTTTATATGTTAAAGAATATCCTTGGGCTGGTCATGACCATTCCTAGTAATACCCGCGGTATCGATTATGCGCCTTCTATGGGGGTGAAAAACGAAGAACAAAATTCATCGGAAGTACTTTTTGGTTGCGAACAATGGCGAGAGGAGAAAAGGCTAATAAAGTCATATCTATGATGATGAGATCGGAGAAATGCCATCTTGAATTAAATTCTATTTTATCGGAATAAAGTGAAAGAATTCATTCACTTCGAATTTCATATTTTAACGAAAGTCAAGATATTTCGATCGGATATTATTTAAAATAATATTGAAAATTAAAAGATCCAAAATCTCTGGTCATGAATGGAAATTAGAAAATTAGAAATGAGGAATTTCTGAAATAAAAGTCATGTAGATTTTTTTTTGTCGCGAGTTAGTATTGATCGTTATGTACAATACGCGGTGGGCACTATATACAGATTTTTTGTATTGACGATATAAAAGGGCAACCTATCTATGGTCCCTTTAACAAAGTAATAACCCCTTCATCAATAGGTGGTGCAATCGATTTCCAATAATTTAATTATAGGAACACTTGGTGATGTCGCTTTCTTCGAAAACGTACAAACCACCAGTCAAAATCGGTATTACCTCCATTCTCACAGTTAAATCGAATAAAAATAGTGAAATGTCCAGCGTTTTAAATTCGTGAATTTAGCGGCAACTGTGGGGACTTAGATAAATCTTTCGGGAACTCTTCCTGAGAGATTTATAGGGCCAATATAAAAGATAACTCCGGGCGAAGTTTATTTATGGCTGGCGCGATCGGTAGTATTGAAAAATTTTCATCTCAAAAGCACGACTAAATTCCCGATAATTTCATCATTTTTTATTCCATCAATTTGTTAATTTTTTCATTATGCATCTTGAAATTATTCAACATGGAAAATCCTGGGATTAAAGTTAAGTCAAAGCACGCGATAAAGCACAAATAGGTTTTGTACATATGTACATCTGGTATATGCAGTACACGAATAAGAAGCAGGAAACTGCGCAATGCTCTAGGTACGGTTCAATGCACGCCCAACCCATGCATTAGAATATTGGCTTTTCTTACTACTACTTCTGCTTCTGCATCTGCCCAACAGCTCCCTCATCTATCCTCCTCATCTATCATCTTCCCTCATATAAAAGGATATAATCCAAAAATTATAAATTACATATACTTCTAGACAAATATTTTTTCCACCAAGATCCTCTCAAAAAAAATCCAATAAAAAAAAATCCAAAACTCATCTTGAAATTATTGCATCAGTCCAATAATTATCGTTAGATAATAATTAATTTATTGTTTAGAAAATAATTGGGATTTTTAAAATGAACATTGAAATTCTCTTTTCGATCAATAATATTAATATTGATATTCATTGATTTATCCGTAAAATGGAGGAATTAAAGTGCTCGTCAAGTTTATTCGGGATGAAAATCCCATAACGACACAGCACACGTTTACTTTATGAAATTAAGTCGCTTGGGTAATAAAGGCTCTTAAGTACGAGAGGAGAAAAAGACGATCTGATGAAGAGGTGGTTTCAACAACACGATACACCGAGTGAAAAAAAAAATAAGGTGAATGGAATCTCTCGGTGAGTGAGTGTCGTTAGTAAATGCTGTTAACCAGATGCAAAGCGAGTATCAGTATGAAGAAAGAAAGGTACATAAATGTGATAGGATAAGTCCACGAGTCCATCTACATCCAGAGAGAATTATTCCAAATTATTCCTGATTTGATAATTTCACTATTCTAATTTCCCTAATTTCTCTAAACCGACACCTAGTTACAGA